AGCATAACATTAAGGACCTCCTACCAGCAGACATTATCAAGGCAGCTAGTTCTTCGGATTGGAGAAAGAGTATATTGGCGGAATATAAATTGCTCAAGTTGACGTCTGAACAAGCAAAAACTGAGTTCTTGAATATCACCTACAAATGGCCTACTTTTGGATCGGCCTTCTTTGAAGTCAAGCAAACTACAGAACCCACTTATCCAGATGTTATTATCATCGCTATTAACAGGAGAGGAGTTAACATTATTCATCCACAAACTAAGGTAAGGGACTTGATTGTGTCTCTCCTCTCTGATAACTGCTTCAGGGCTTCCAAGGTCTCAGACTCCCGAGACCCCAAACACTACAACACTTAGATATCACTAATCAATGCATTACTGCTACGTGGAATGTCTTTGGATGGTGGTTGGCGTGGGGTTTGGTGTGGGGATTGGCGCACTGATTGGCCGAGGGTTGGCGCGAATATTTCTGACGGTAGGATTTTCTAGAACATTCTAGGACGTTCTAGAATCCCGATTCGTTAGTATCGGACCACATTCTAGTAATAAATAAATAAGCAACACAATATCCACTCCTTCTGAATATACATTCGCCTTGTGTGGCTATTAATCTGTATTCTATATTTAACTGAATTAAAGGTTTTAATAATTTTTAGGATATTTTGGCTACACACGAATACTCCGAACTGAGCAACTGGTCATCCGGAAACGCCTACTTCCATATGACCGTGGGAAATATTATGAGAAGGACGAAAATATTGTGCGAGACGTCGCAGGGATACAAAATGGACGACCTCATTACGTCGTACACAGATTTTCTTAGACAGGAGCGGATGGGGTAGACAATTGTTTAAATTTATTTATATATGTACATGAAATGTATTATTGTTAATAAATATTATATATAATTTTGGGTTTCTTCATTTCTATTTTTGGCGTATTTTTAAAGTCCGTGTCAGACGGTAAAATATTTAAACAAACTAACGTAATGACGTCATAATTAGATACAGTTTGTTCAAATTTTAAAAATCTACCTGTCACACGATCATTCAAATTTTATCAAATTGTCGTATGTCAAGGAAATTAATTGTCTTTTTTGCTTATTTTATTAGTTGCTTGAGCTTTATTTACGATTCGTATTTTTCTTACACATAAAGATAATAAATAGAGTGAAAGGATTTTTATAATAATATGGATGTTTGACATTATATAAACATCTTATATCTCGGTATAAATCAGTTATGTAGAAACTTGTTCCTGGCTGCAAGATATTTTAAATTTTTATTTTATATCAAAATGGAAAGATATAAAAGAAAAAGAATAAATAAACCACACACTGTCAACCAAATAGAAAAAGAAAATTAATTTAAATACGCATGATACTATAACAACAAGATATGCTCACTTGCTGTTCTAATTTTAATTGAATTTGCGCATGTCGTCATAGCGAGACAAAGACAGAGGACTTGTATGTATCATATTTTAACGATGCATCATATGGCAACGTTGTTTCACTACTGTAATGAACAACTTCAAAACTTAAACTGTTAACGGTAAGTATACCTCGATGCCATATCTTGCACTAAGAAGTCCTAACTAGTTACTTTCTCTGAAAACGTGTTTAGAAAATTAATAAGTAATTTGTAAAATTAATTAAAGAAATATATGAATCTACGATTTGATTGTGTGTATTATAAACAAAATAAATATTGCTACAAAACATAAATTAAATATAAAAGGTCGGCAAAATGTAAAGAATTTGACCATAAAGGAAAAGCTGATCAAACTTGAGACTTTATGAATATCATTTAGACATTTATTTTACAATCTTTGTGATTTTTCTTTTGCGGTATTGTAATTATCTTTAATATTTTGATTTAGAATTCGTATTTTAAAATACATTTTACATCTAAAAAAAAAAGTAATTTTACATCTTCGCTTTTACATATTTAAACATTTACAAATTTTGAAGCTTTTATTAAGTTTTTTAAATAATTTTTTGTTATTTTTAATGTGTCGCCATTATAACTACGAAAAATATGTTCCAGTTCACTACATACTAGAATACATCCTACATACATCCATTCTACATACATCCAAAGCAACTTTTTTTAAAGACCTATCAAATATAAAATATTACTTCAAGTTCTATTAAAATGGGCATTATTAGTATATAATATATTATTGTCTATAGAAACATTTATTATTATCCATAGAAACATTTGCTCTGCTGTTATTAATAGTATAAATCTAATATATCTAATATTAATTCTCTGCTGTTATTAATATTAATTCTTTTTATTTATATAACCACAGAATAATAAACAATCAGAAGGGCCACTCTCAGATGCCGCCTTTGAAGTTTTCAGCACGCGCGCCATGTTTTAGGAGGACACAGACATTTGATGATTTGTTATGTAATTGTTTATATTTATGTTTAATTATATTATATTTATGTTATTATATTTAACAATGTTAATATAATTGTATAGCATCGAGCAAAAAGATAAAAGAGGGAATCTAATCGTTATGAAAAGGAGACCAAAAAAGTGGCCTCTGATGGCGGACATATCCGGAAATGCAAAGGCGCTAAATTTAAATTTTCCAACACTTGTTAACAATACCTGTAAAATATTTTTCAGATAAGAAAGTTTTAACTAAATATCAACGATAATAGTCTAAAAAGTGACATAATTGGTAAAAAACTTCAATAGGTATAAATAAAATTTCATGTGACAGTTGGGACAAACAATGACGTATAATATATAGACTCGGTGAACGCTTTAAAAAGTGTCCAAAACATAAATACCTTTGTTATTGTTTATTGTTTTGATACGAAGATGCACGAAGTTCATGATTTCTTACGAAGCATCACGAAGTTGATCTTGTGTTTGAAAACATCATGGACGTACTCCATTTTGTGTGACAAGCAAATTTTATTTTAAATTGTTGAGAGTTATTTACTTACTATTTTAGTAAAATGCCATACTATTTTATCAAAATAATTATTTCTCTTATAGACGGGAACAAAAAGAAATCATAAATATTTAATTTTAATTAAAAAAATAATTATTGTCATTAACATATAAATGAGCACGCCGCTGTTCTGATAAACATACCTTCAACCTTGAGCCGAGATCTTTCGGACACTCGATTCTATAGCGAGAATAGGGGACTGCGTAGTCTATATATTATACGTCATTGGGGACAAACAATAACATAACCAAACTAAATTTGACTTCTTAAACAAGGAAAGAGACTGTCTTTCCTTGTTTAAAGTGGCCTCTCAAGATAGCACTTCCTGTCTAACAATATTTTTGTCCCCACTACCTTTACATTCCCTCTTTTATCTTTTTGCTCGATGTTGTATAGTATGTCTATGATTGCCGTAAGTCAAATAAACCTGGTTAATTTTTCCATGCACACCACATAAACAACACTACTTTAAAATCCTCCTAAAACATGGCGGAACGTCTGCGCGGAGGAGATGCGCGTCCTTAATTTTCCGTGGAGAGTGGGTATTCTGTTTGTTTATTATTCTGTGATATAACCATGATACTATGATAAGAAGATAAGATATTGCGCATAAGTCGTGACGTCATTGGAGAGTTGCACGTTCGAAATGTCAGTTTTTTGTATGTGTCAATAAATAATCTTTAATAAATAGTTTGAAGATATCCTTATGTGTACGATTATTGTAATTATTGAACCTCGTAACTTATTTTCGTCTAGTAATTTCATCGCAGAATGCATGAGGCACAAATCCCATTTAACTTTAAAAAGAATTCAAGTTCTAGTCTCCAATGACGGCATGCGCGAACACGACCGATTTTGTGCTACGGGAAGATCCTATCTTGTTATTCATAGTATCATGTATATAACTAGAATTGCACCAAATGAAAAATTAAAATTTAATTTTAAAGTTTAACTTTCTGTCATTAATTTTGACAATTTGGCATTTTGTCCAGTTGTCTCGGGCTTACGTCACAAGAACATGCCCGTTAACTTAATTGTTTTGTTATAGTATCATGTTAAATACGTTATGTCTAACTGCTGATTGTCATTTAACTTTAGATATTTTTTGACCAATCAAAATTAAAGTTTGATCAAACCCACCTTGAAAATAGAAGATCTATTTTTATAAATTGCATTCGAAAAATATTTGCACGAAAGATACCTAGATGGCGCCAAAGTATTAAGTATGCAAGTAAACAAACTAATAAAATAGTGGGAAATTAATTTTGTTTATTATATTTTGGTACATAATTAACAACATAAAGGCAATTGAAAATATAAAACATAATTATTAATTATAATTAAGAATAATAATTCTTAAAACAGAAATGTTTTAGCTTTGATTGAATATTCGCTCGACTTTATAGAAGTCGGCAACCAGTATATCGTTTGAGTTCTTCATTGTGTCCTTGCAGATTCTACCAATGACGTATACTATAACGTCATTAATTCTAACTCGATGTCATTGATTCTATTAACTCGATGTTGTAAATATAAAATGTTTGTTTAATATTTGATATATAATCTTTGTGTTTATACAAATCGTCTGCTCAGCTATTTAGCTTTACTACGCCTATTTTAAACAGATTGTAAAAGTCTTATTTTTGTTATTCCGATCTCTATCCATTTAAGTTTCTACAATGTATAAATCTATATTTTCTTCTCTTTTATTTTCCCTCAACTGTTTTTGTTCTATGTCTTTGTTACACGGTTGATGCATATAAGACGCTATCGTGACATGGATATTGGTCTCCCTTTTTATTTACGGGAGTAATCAGGTTGTTTCCCGTTTCAACGAAATCTGCTCTATGTTTGGTCATGTTTGGTTGAATAATAATGCTATATAATCTGACGTTTAACTTTAAAGATTGTCAACAGAATTGTCAAGGTTAGTGTTGTCAACTAGACAGATGATTCATTTCTAATAATAAAGCAATAAAAGTGAATTTTTTTTAGTTCTAGATAATAAACTCAATTTTAAATATGTTTTCAAGCGGTCCTAATTACCCAAAACTCAAAACAAACCTTCGATTATCAATATCAAGATTAAAATTGCTCCAGAAAAAGAAATCAGAGTTAACTGAGAAGTCCAGAAAAGAAATTGCTGACTACATAGTAGCTGGAAAGATCGAAAGAGCCAAGATCAGGGTGGAATACATCATCAGGTAATACATTTTATCAAGTTAATAAAAGTTTCCTCGTAGTGATGCTACAATTAGTAACTAATTTACTTTTAGGGAAGATTACCTTGTAGAAGCTTTAGAAGTAGTTGAAATGTACTGTGATTTGCTGCTGGCAAGATTCGGGCTTATTTCAAACATGAAAGAATTAGATGATGGAATAGCAGAAGCTGTATCAAGTCTTATTTGGGTGGCTCCAAGACTTATGTCAGATGTACAGGTATAGTATTCATCAATTATAATGAATTAATGGAAACAAGGTCATAATTTCCATAATTGACTTGGATTAATGGCTGAATTTAGTACTAAAATATTGAGTATTAATCCCTTTTCTATGAGACACAGTGCTGTATTAGATATACTTATTAGTTATAAGCTTTTATCAAGGTTAGAGTAATAAAGATAAATGGTTTCATGTCACCTATTAATATTACCAAACATAAATTGTAATATTATAAAATTTGTACAAAAGATTTTACCTAACGTTCACATTTAACATCCATTTTGCTTGTATTTATGATTTAGTTTGTTTTTTTGCACTAATCAATTACAATTCCCTTAATTTTTAATGACTATTAAAAGGAATTTAACTTTTGCAAACTCAATCAATAAAATAATTGTCTGCCTTGATATACTAAGTACATTGTTTGATCTTTACAATATGTTCCTTTTTCATGGACAATTTTCATTACATATAGGTATATAATACTAGTATGGTGGATGTAATTGAAAAAAAAAAACTTAAAATTTAATTTCTATTTTGACAATCTATTTACCAGCATGAGTTAACTAAGATATTTAAGATTAAAAAAGGATACAATACTGCCGGAACTATCAAAGAAAATAGAGTACCAAAGATGAACCCTCTTATATCTTCAAAAGTTTTACACAAAACAAGACATAAAAGAGATTATTTTTCTTTGATTGAGGGAAATAAAGGCATTATATTCATAAGATGGTTATACAATAATGCAGTGACAATTGCTCTCGCTGCCTATGGTATGACACCTTTATCTCAAGCAAAAAGATATTCTGAAGCCATACACAAACATTGAACCTGTCAAACAGTGCCCTGTCTCACCCCTATGTTGATGTCAAATCTACTGTAACTGCAGCTTTTGAACCCTGCAATGTCATTTTTATGAGGCTGATATATTTTTTGGTATACCTAGATTTCGGAGGTCTTCCAGCATTTTGTCTCTTTTCACACTATCAAAAGCTTGTTTAAAGTCTATATACATATTATATAGTTCTATGTTGTATGCATAAGTTTCTCTTGTATTGTTCTAAGTATTAATATGTTGTCTGTAGTGGCTCTATTTGGTCTGAATCCATTTTGATAATCACCAATTATATTTTCGGAGTATTCTGACAATATAGTGTAGATAATGCCAGAAGGGATTTTGTATATTACATTATTTAGCAGTGTAATTGCATTTCCTCTTATTTCCTTACATATATATATATATATATATATATATATATATATATATATAATATATATATATATATATATATATATATATATATATATATATATATATATATATATATATATATTGGATGTCCAAGACTAACTGACTATTCCTCCAGCATTTGCTCCTTGGTCCATACCAACTTTATCAGGTAATGTATTCTTCCCCAGAGTTTGGGTCCTCCATATTTCAACAATTCTGCTGAATCTCCGTCCGTTCCTGGTGCTTTAGTTTCTTCATTATTTGAACTACTTCTTCAAACTCAGATTTTCAATGTGCTGATCCGCTGTAAAATATATTGTCTCGTTTTGATCATTTCCATGGTCTGCATTTAGGTTTTCCTCAACATATTCTTTCCATCTCATTATAATCTTTTGTTTCTCTGTTAGTATTAGGATTTCTTGTACTTGTTTTTTCAAACCCTCTTTTTTTTCTTCTGTATATTCTAGTCGCTTGTATTCCCTTTTCCTTATAAATTTCTCTGCTATCTCTAGTGTTTCTTTGAAGTTGCTAAAGCTTAGCTTGCCTTTTTCCTCTACTGCATTCATCATTATACCATTCTGCATTTTTTTGCTTTTTGGCTTTTCCAACAGTTTCCTCTGCAGATTCCGTTATTATTGTGTTTAATTGTCTCCATGCTTATTCTGCAGTATCTTCCTCCCTGGTTCTGTTGAGCTTTATTTGGAGAGTATTTTGACATTCTTGTGTCTTTGTTGGGCTTTTGAATCCTTCAACATTCCATTTTTTAATTTGGCTTTCTTTTTTGCCACTGTCGCGATTTTCTGTCGCAATTTTGCCCCCACAATATGAGTCAGAGTTTGCCCCGCGATACGTTCTGATATTAGTTATGTCTGTTGCCCATCTTGAGACGAGGATGTGGTCAATTTGATTAGCTTCATTGGTTTCTGGTATTTTTCATGTTCGTTTATGGATATCATTTATCTGGAAGTTAGTGCTGACAACTACATAATTATAACCCTAATTCCATTTTGACTGGTTTCATTATGCAAACTATGTTTCCTAAATATGGTTACGAAAATTTCTTCTTTCCCTAGCTTAGCATTAAAGTCACCTAATGTTATAACTTAGTAACTATAATGTAAATTCGATTTTATCACATACTTCCTGAAGTTCTCGATAGAATCTTTCAACTTCGTTTTCATCAGCTTCTTCCGTTGGTGCATATACATTAACCATTATCATATACAGTTTACCTTTGAGTCTTATGGTGCAAATTCTGTCTGATATTGGTATAAATGCGATAATGGCTTTTCACAGTCTTTTGGTTACTATAAACTATCTGCGAATTGGAATCTGCAATTCCAACTATCTTCCAATTTATCTTATTCAGTTCATTTTGTATTTGGATGAATTTTGTTGAAACTTTATATAGTATGTACTAGTAGTATCAGTAGTATCAGATTTTGCCTCACCATCCTTAGAATTAATGGAAGTGGCTGATCCTCAATCAATGTCGGTTTCTGAATTTTTCATTCTACCGCGTTTATGGCTACAGCCACCCATTGTGGGCAGAGACAGTGTTGATTGTAGTCAGTTATACATTGAAATATATGTAATACATGTTGTAATTAAATTGCTGTGAGAGCGAATTGGCTTCATTTGTTTACCGCATTTGTTAATATCTTGTTACTACAGACACAAGATTTAAAAAATGTACATAAATATCATCTGAATAAGTTGGATACTAACAGAAGTTTGTCTTTTAGGAATTGAAAGTCATTGCTGACCTTTTGTCAACAAAATATGGCCCTCAATATGCAGAAGCCTGTAGAATAGAATCCGTCGAATCTATAAGTGCTAAGTTAAAGCACAAGTTGTCAATTCAAGCTCCTCCAAAACTTCTCGTTGAGAAATATATGATAGAAATAGCAAAATCTTATAATGTGCCTTATGAACCTGATGCACAGATTATGGCTACAGAGAAAGGTATTTTACCACCAACTTCCATAATTTTTTGTACTACTCAGTTATTTGATTCTTTTAGGACACGATGCACTGTTGATCGACTTATCCACAAACAACTTGGGTGGCGGTGGTATGCCCCAACCTCCAGGATTTTTCGGTTACCCCCAACCACCACCGCTTCCGCAGTTCGTAAATCCCATGCCTCAACCATTTACTTACCCGGTAAGTGACAAAACAAATAAATTCGATAATATAAGTTTTATTTTATGGGGTTTTCTAGGACCAGAAAGGTAAAGAACTTAATATCGATCCAACGGCACCTCCTACACCTCCATTTGCTTATAATATTCCACCAAATGGAGAAAAAGAAGTTAATACTGATATCGGGGTAAGTTTTTGTAGACTTTGAGTTTGTTTTTACGATGTATATTTGTATACAATTTAAGTTTTTGATATTTTACCAATAATTAAAGTAGTGGAGTATTTTACCGTCAAAATTTTCTTAGATTTTTAAGATGCAAATCAAATATCCTTTTTAGAAATGGCTGAATATTCCAATTTTGTTTTTTATTTTAAGACAGCAGTACTGATCAATTAACAAATCAAATTCCGGGTTTGGAAAACCCTTATGTGAGCCAATGTGAATGTTTTACTACGCTTGTTTGTAGTTTCTTGAGTAGCAGGGGAATCTATTATTGCTAAGTAGTTCTAATAAAACCGTAAACAAAATATCTAAAATATGTTTAAGAAATTGACTTAAATTGTGTCAAAAATACATCAGTAATGCTTGGAGTATAGTAGGTTCAGTTGTGGTGTATGCATTTTACAATATATTTGGTGTACAATTTTATTGTATGGTGTTTGAGGTGTATTTTTTACTCTTGTAGGAAGAATTACCAACTTACAGACATCTTTATCCAAATTTCGCTACTCCAAAGGTAATATTTAATATTTTTCTTTGCACTGGTTTAGGACTTGGGCTTGGAATTTAACTTAATAAGTTAGGAGTGTTGTCTCAGGTGTGTTAAATATTTTCCCCAGATCTGGGTAAAAATGAAGCAACAGCCGCTCGGAAGTTCCATAAAAGCATGTGTATTATAAATAAATAGAAGTAGCCTGAAAAGGCTAAATTTCTCCAGATTTAGGGAAATATTACTGAAGAATTCATGATGAGTTTTGTACTTTTACCACCTTGAAGGGCGTCTTTATGGAACAGTTTTTCTGGAGGATAATCCCTGATGTCTGTTTTGGTCAATTATAGGTATACTGGGTGTACCAATACTACAATGAAGAGTTTCGAAACTCCTTTCATTACTTGAATCAATTAAAATTTTTATCCCACTATCAACCACAATTTTAGTCAATGATTAGCTGCAAATGAAGCAAACTTCTGACATTTTTATAAAATTGTGTAATGGCACAGATTAAAAATAAAATATCTACAAACGAGTCTATTCAGTATGAAAACTGGAGCCCTAACTAATTTTTTGCTTCTTATGATAGGACTATCATTCTGCTAATCTCCTCCATCCTTCAATGTTGCATTTCAATTTAGGTTAAAATTCTCTTATTACGAGGGTGGATTGATATAAGACTAGTCTTTGATAGAAAAAACAAGTTTTTTGGAATTAAATCGATGTATTTCTCAACATCGTTCTCTTTTACCTCGATACACTTAGTAAGAGGATGTTCCAATTTTTTTATCACATCCGAATAGTACTTTGGCTCGAGCTCTTCAAAATAGGTCGAAGTTTCAGAGGCGACTTCATCATTTGTTGCGAAACGGCGTCCTCCGAGCCATTTTTTTTAGGTTTGGAAACAGGAAAAAATCGCTGGCGGCAAGATCTAGGGAATACGATGAGTGTTCAACCAATTCATAGCCCAATTCGTGTAATTTTGCAATGGCGACGGCCGATCGGTCAACCGGTGCATAGTCTTGGTGAAAGAACACTTTTTGCGTTCCAAACCGGGACGTTTTCGATGCAATTCGGCTTCGAATCGATCCAATAATGCTGCGTAGTACTCACCATTGATTGTTTTTCCTTTTTCCAAGTAGTCGATGTGGATGATGCCCTTCGTATCCCAGAAAACAGTCGCCATCACTTTGCCGGCCGAATGTGCACTCTTTGCCTTCTTCGATGGCCCTTCTCTGCGTTTGTGCTACTGTTTCGACTGTTCTTTGGTTTCCGGTGTGTAATAACGCACCCAGGTTTCATCAAGAGTGATAAATCGGCGAAAAATCCTTCGGATCGCACCGTATCATCGCCAAAAGCGTCTCCGAAGTGATCACACGTTTTTGCATTTGATCGATTGTCAGCAAACACGGCACCCATCGCGCGGATAGCTTTTTCATGTCCAAATGTTGTGTACGCGTTCGTAGGAACATCACTCCCGGGACACTCATCATCAAAAACACTCGTACGACCATGCAAAAATTCAGCTTTCCAAAATTTTACTGTTGCTAACGAAGGTGCAACCTCACCATAAACTTCGTCCACGTCGGCTTTGATTTGCACATTCGTTTTACCCTTTTTGTGGAGGAACTTACACACCGAACGATACTCAACTTTTTCCATTTCTCCGAAAACACAAAATTTGCTTGCTTTTGACAGCTGTAAAAACTAAACTAATTGTTTTTAAAACTTAAAATTTTGACAGACGTCATGTCATGAATGGCAATGGCAAATGTCAGCACTGAAACTAATTCGCTATCAAATAGCGCCATCTATGAAAGGCTAGTTTAATATCAATCTATTCTCGTAGACATAATATTTGACAATAGCACCTTGACACTCACACGCCTATGTTTTGTTTTTAATAAACTAACACCAACTTTTCTCATACTGTAAAGTTCCCTGCACCACCGTTATACATGAGTTTTACACACTTCTATTGCGTTAGCGTACCAATGACGAAGTCAGAAATGTTCGTATCTAAGCTCAGATGCAAAAAAAAAACACAACAAAGAAAATTTTGGTTAAAAACAAAGTATTTCAATTTTTTATTTTTAGCCGTATTTTGATGATTTTTTAACACACTGTGTATACATTTATAAATTTTTATTTTGATATAGTCAGATTTTTAATAAAATTTTATATTTGACTTATTCTACGGGGTTAATTAAAACGATGACAAAAGATCATCTCGTTGCTTTTAATCATTATTTAAGTACAGTGCTTCTAGGATGTCGATATAACATTGCTTCGATATCAGTCACCAAAGCCCATATTGTCGTATTACAAATTAATACAAAAGATAATGGTAATAATAGGAAAAGTCGTAAATTGTGGGTGGTAAAGTCATTTCGCTCCTAAAAATGAACCAATCCATATTTTCACATGAAACAAAAAACATAATACTTAAAAGACATGGTTGCAACCGAAAAACAAGGTTTTGCGAAAATCCGCTCATGGAATTATCCCACAGAATGTTTCAAAGTTAGGATAAAAAACCACCTTTCGATTAACCCCGTATAATAAGTCATACAAATATTTTATTAAAAAACTCACTATACTAAATTAAAATTTATAAATTTTTACACAGTGTGCTAAAAAATCATCAAAATACGGCTAAAAATTAAAAAAAACTGAAATACTTTTTTGAATCTGAGTGTACGTAACGTGTAACCAAGAAATAAATAAATATAATCCAGAAGGACTTGTCTAAAAATTGCCGCTCATGATACAAAAGGTCACCAATTCTTTCCTAAATTTTTGTGTCATTTAAAAAATATATAGTACACCCAGTATACTTAGATTGATTTATACAGATAGCTTGATATATTCGAAAAATTTTCAAGTCAGCAGTGTCACCAGCTTACAATTACAATTTGTTGTTCTTACAATTGTAAATTGCTATTTTGACATTTTTGCCCTTCGCAGAATGGGAAATTGGGACCAGTCGCGTCCCAAACAAAGCGAATAGCCTTTACATTCAGTTCTCCTAGCTTCTAATTCTAGCATAAATTACTTGATTTTCAAAATTAACAGTATTATCGTTCTCTGCGAATTGTTTGATAATTACATGACCTAACAAAGAAATTTAAAAACAAAGTACTTATTATAGTAGTTTTTAACAAAGTCTTATTAGCTCAATTTATTTATTACTCGTGGCTTGTTCAATAAACGAGTCCATTTATCTTCAACCAAAACACAAGAGACATACCATAATTACAAGACAATTAGAAACGAAACAGTTGCACTTGTAAGAAAAATAAAAAATGATCACTGGGAACGCTTTTCGAAAGAAACGGAACATGATTTTTACGGTCTGCAAAACAAAATATGGCGCTTCATAAGAGGTCAAAGAAAATAAAATTATAAAACACAATAAAATATCGGAAGAATGGAGAACGAACGAACTAATTCTACTATTGAAAAAAGGAGATAAAAAACAGTAAAAAAACTACAGAGGTATAAACTTGTTCTACGCTAAACCTTACAATTAAAATTTTACAAGTGCTAATAAATCAGAGGATCAGTTTAGCAGATGAACAACAGGGTTTGCCTTGAAAATAACACCAACTACTGCAATGGAGTTGATCATTGGCATCATGCCTCTAGATATATATGTCAAAGAGGTGGCACTAGTGACAATGATGCGACTGGGCTCAGCTGGTGTACACTTTGATGTAGGAATGGGACAATTGAGAATTCTTTCTGGCGTGGAGAGCTGGATGTGCCACCACTGCTACAGGCAGGCTGCGACTCAATTGAACCAAAAATTGTCTTCAACAAACCCTACATAATCGAAACAAGACAGTATAGGGAGACAAACATGGCAAATGCCTATTGCATATACACCGATGTCTCCAAAATGAAAGAAGGCTCAAGATACGGGATATACTCCAGATCACTGAACCTAAGAATAAAGTGAGGTATGGTCAAATATGCTAGCGTAGTTCAGACATAACTGGCTGGTATCTCCATAGCCGCAAAAGAGATAAACCAAAAAGGTATAGTAGGGAAAACTATAATGATCTGCATAGATAGCAGACAAGCGCTACTAACCTTGAATAGACCACGTGTCACATCAGGATTAGTAATGGAGTGTCACGAGTCACTAAATCAAGCTTCGGATGGTAATATCATCATCCTGAGGTTGGTTAAAGGACACAATAGGAATAAAGGCAACCGCATTGCTGACCAATTGGCTAGGAAGGTGGCAGGCCTAAGACTCTTAGGACCTGGGGATCTTTTTGATTGGTCAACTACAACAATCGGTAATTGTCAAATGTCACTACCATAGGCAAACCGTAAAAAGATTGGAAGAAAGGCAAGGATGTAAACTTGCCAGAGTAACACTAAGTAACCTTGAAGAGTCAACATCAAAGAAGTACTTGGGAATGACCAGGAAAACCTACGTTCGGCAGTTGGTTTTTTAACTGGTTATTGTCAACTAAGCAAACACCTCCATACACTGGGGCTAGCAGACACACCTCTATGTAGGAAGTGTGAACGAGAAGACGAAATTGTAGAGCATGTCCTTTGTGAATGCCCGGAGTTATCGTTAATACGAGAGTACGCGTTCGGTGAGTCCTCTCCCACACCTGCCCACATAAGTGAGATGTCTCCTGGTGACTTGTCCACCTTCCTAGAAATGTCAGGATGGACAATGAGCTAAGGGCGACAGCTCCCTGGGAGGATTCACAATGGATCAATTGTGGCCTAAGTGCTGTAAAACTTAACTCGCCCTCCCTACTTTACAGATACAGAACCTTCCCTAGAGATATTAATCCGCCCATGAACAAGCAGAATTGCTTATGAACATTAAGAAAAAGAAGGTGATTCTAAAAGAAGAAGTTTTATTATATTACTATCATTTAAAAACTATAAAGAAATACAAATTTTAAAAATAGCAAAATAATTTTGCTGAAACATGTATTTTGGTTTATAAAAAATTCGAATAACATTTTAACCATTGCCTACAACCTACAACAAATTTTTTTTATATTTAGAAAGCTTGCAGTTTTTTACAATTTCAAAAGAAGAAAAGGTTTCCTAAGACAATTTGGGAAGAAATTAGTCCTTTTTTTTAATTGATAGCAGATTTGTTTATAATAATTGAGAGGTTTTATTAGCGTTATTTGAAAGAACATACTTTAAGTTTTATTGTCCAAAATTTAAAAAACAAAATGGCCTCTTAATGGAATCGTTTACAAAGCTTCAACACGTGATCCATAAAATCGGTAGGCTTTGAAACTCGCTGTAGCAGTGGAAGGGAAAGGAGCTGTTAACTGTATCTCTGGTTCTTGTTTTTATGGATTTTGACGTTTCTTTTTTAATTTATATGTACTTATACCCCGAATATAATAATATTATCCCGAATTCACGCAATCTCTGTTAGGTCACGTATTTATAAAACATTCCTGGCATTTTCTAATGCATTTGAACTAACAAACAAACTTTCACATTTTTCACAAAGAAAAATTCTAGAGATTTAAAATTTTGTAGAGTGGGGAAACAGACGATAACGCATCAGGAGGCAATACGGAAAAAACAGATCAGGTAACGTTGGTTATTTGTTGAATGAATCTAATCAATTTTGATTGATTAGAGAAGTGCATGTTAGTATGTTTATTCGTCTTAATGTGGAAAGAGTCTGGTAGAAAGAAGCAATTTTAACAGAAAAGAATGTTTAAGTGAATTTTGAATGTTTTTATATATTACTTGTTTAAAATATTAGTTTAAAATACTCAGTATTTTTAAAATACTCAGTATTTTTAATAATTTCTGAAAAGCGGCTTGGTTCTTGGAAGTTGACGATCTTTTGAAAAAAAATTGTAGTTGAAGTCTTCAATAGCAAACAAATTTTTTTGTAGTTTTTCTTGTAATTGGGCCAAAAATCAAGAATTTTTAAGATACATAGGAAAGTTTGTCCTTTGGTTACTTTTAACCCGACAAAGAAGTAATTTTGTTTATTCGTATCACCACTTAATCATCATTCTCTTTATAATTTTTTTATCTGGTTCAACACTAATGTGTTGTGGCTGTTTCGCAATTCCTTCCTTCAAATGCATCAGTAGTTCAATATGTTTTTTTAAGTGTCTCTTCCTTGTTTTGAATAATCGATAAACAAACACCTTGTTTAGACTTACCAACTAACTGATTCTTGCTGCTGTTTGCTGCTGTCCACTCACCTACCCAATACCCATGGATTCGACTTCGGAGTAAAATAGTGGATCCACATTTCGTGCATTACCAGATATTGATGTAAAAACTCCACTTTAGTGGACTTCAAGTTTGTTTGAGCAAACACGGCACTCTTTACCATTTCATGCAAAGTGCTGACTATAATGTTTTCTAATATAATGTACTGCGCTGCTATCTTCTTCTACTTCTTACGGTGCCTTTGCCTTAAGGACGTTGGCCATTACATTTGCCCATTTAATCTTATTTGTAGCAGCCCTGAATAGTTCTATGGAGGTCATGTTCGTCCATTGTCGTAGGTTTTTAAGCCAAGAATTGCGTCTTCTTCCTGGTCCCCTTTTTCTATTGACTTTGCCTTCGATTATAAGTTGGAGCAGTTCATACTTTTGATTTCTTATGATGTGACCAAAATATTGTGTTTTCCGTTCTTTTATTATAAGCATAAGCTCTCTTTCCTTATTCATCCTCCGCAAGACTTCCGCATTTGTCGTATGGCTCATGTAGGATATTCTGAGCATTTTACGGTAACACCAGAGTTCGAATGCTTTGATTCTTTTTTTATTGCTTCTGTCATTGTCCAGGCTTCAACACCATAGAGCAAGGTGGAGAAAACATAGCACTTAAGTATTCTAGTTCTCAATGAGATGCCCAGCTGGCGGTTGCATAGAACTTTTTGCATTTTGTAAAACACTGTACGTGCCTTTTCCAGGCGTATTCTTACCTCTAGTGAGTGGTCTTAAGTTTCATCAAGATTACTTCCAAGGTACGTTGTTCTTGTTACTCTTTCCAGATCTGTTCCGTTGACATTGACCTTCACCCTTCTGTTTTGGTGCTTGTTGATGACCATCGTTTTTGTCTTCTTTGTATTCAATTTCATTCCAAATTATCTACAGGCTGTCGTTACTCGGTCCATTAAGCGTTGCAGGGCTTCAGCATTATCTGCCAGTATGACAGTGTCTTCAGCATACCGCAGGTTATTTATACATTGAACGTTTATAATTATACCATCCATGCTGCTATATTACAAATTCAATTTTCAGTCGACCAAAATGATTTTGGGTACATTCTTGATGTTTTCTTGTACAACTGTCAAATTTGGAGGACCATACCGTTTCTAGAAAAAATCTGAGAAAATTGCTTCTTGTTTTGTATGTAGTTGTGTTTAGATATTCTATAATATTTACATTTGTACTTTTATACGAATTTAAATATACAATCCCCGGTACAAAATTCCGCCATAATTTTTAATTAAGTTTGACAATTTTTATTTTTTTTTTATATTCCGATTTTCAAGATTCTTGCATTAGTTTGTTTGTACATATATTGAGAATGACATGTTTGATTATACAAAATTAAGAAAAAGAGAAATACATCAAAAAGTGATCCAACAAGTCGACTAAAATCTAACAGAAGTAGGAGAAGAAATCTTAACATAAGAAAATGTCAATGAAATGTGGAGCAATATTCAGAAGGCATTACTGAAAGTTGCAGAAGAAATTTTAAAGCCTGAAAAGATAAATAAAAAACAGAAGTGGATGACTTCAGAAATTATTAATGGAAGAGAGTGGAAAAGCCAAAGGGAGGAATGAGCCAAAATATCAAGAACTACAAGTAGAATTAAAGTAGAGATAAAAAAGGCCAAGGAAAAGTGGTTAACTGATCAATGTATAGAAATGGAAGAGTATGACAGAAAATACGACAAGTTTAATATGCATAAAAAGATAAAAGAACTAACAAATACCAAAAATCGAGCACACTATGGGATACTCAAAAATGATAATAGTAAACTCATTGCAGACATCAAAGATAAACAAAGATTTTGGCAAGAATACATAATGAAACTATTCGTCGATGTTAGAATGATACAAGAAGAACCACAGGAACAAACAGGACCGGAAATAAAAATGTGAGAATTAGAACAGGCAATTAGAAATTCAAAGACCTCAAAATCATTAGGCCCAGATCTGGGCAACACTGCATATACTTTTAGATCTGTTCAACAAAGTATATACAATAGGAGTAATGCCCGAAGGTTGGTTGCTGTCCACGTTTGTAACACTACAAAAGTCAATACATACGACAGAATGCCCCCAGTTCAGAACAATTTCCTTAATAAGCCACACACTTAAGATATTTCTCAAAATAATACATGGAAGACTATACAAAAAAAATAGAAGAAGATATATGACACCCAATTTGGATTTAGAGGAGGACTAGGAACGAGAGCGGCTCTGTTCGCTTTTAACGTTCTCGCCTAAAGAGGACTAGATATGAACCAGGATCTCTATGTCTGCTTTATAGATTATCAAAAGGCTTTTGATAGAGTGCGACATCAGAAACTCGTAAAACTGTTAAAAGAAAAGAATGTGGATAGTCGAGATATACGGGTTATTGTCAATATGTACTAGAATCAAAAAGCAAAGGTTAGAATCGAAAATATCGATACAAAATCTACAGAAATCAAAAGAGGTGTTAGACAGGTTTGCATGATGTCCCCATTGTTATTCAATCTGTACAGCGAAGCTATTTTTAAGGAAGCAATATCAAAGGAACAACAGGGTATATCAATAAACGGAAAAATCTTGAAAAACATAAAATTCTTAGACGACACCGCTGTTTTTGAAGACAGCCTAGAAGCACTGTAACGCTTAGTCAATAGGTTACATCAAGTCAGGATAAAATCTGAACTACAAATGAACGTTAAGAAAACCAAGTTGTGACGATAATATATTCTATCGTCTAGAGTACGCCTATGTGTTAAACAAAACACGTTTTTGTTCCGTCTTGAATAGTATAAAAGTCGAAACTGAAAGAGAGCTAACCATTCTCGACGCGTTGAGTTGAGAATATCCGACCTTGGGGACAGGTGAGTTAAACGTGTCCCAAATCCTTTCCGAACCCAGTCGATCTGGCGCGCTGAGCAAGATTGACAATCCTTCCACCGACTGCGTCAATCTGGTGCGTTGAACGAGATTGGCGTATTCTTTCCATCTAGTGTGTTGAACTAGATAGACATCCTTATCCCCGTAAGATAGAGTGCTTAACAGTATCAAATGCCTTTTTAAAATCAACAAAACTGCAGTACACGTACAGATATACCAGATCTTTGAAAACGTACGTTCATCCCAAACAATCCCTTTCTTGTTCCAAACTTTTTAGGGAATCCAAACTGTATCACTTGGTATTCCTGACATTTAATGCAGATACGACCTTGTACTACCTTTAGAAAAATTTTCCATAAATGGCTCGACAAACTGATGATTTTATAAACAGCACAGGGCCCTGATTCTAATTGAGATTTCGACTGAAAACATGTTGAAATCAATATGGCGACGTCGAAATGCGACTTTACGAGCCTAGTGGATTTAAGCTGAACTAACCAAAGGACGTCACTAAATTTCGATTTATCGAAATTAATTTCAACTTCAAGAAAGTGGTTAAAATTTAATTTCGAGTCGAAATTAATCTGACATTAGCGGGACTGGGAGAAGCGAGGTTAGGTTCAGTTTAGGCGGTGTTGTTTTGTTTGATTGTTGCAACGAAAACTGAGGCAAAAAGTATTAATATGGCTGCGTTTTATCAGAAATTGTATGTGATTCGGCACATAATTGGTCGAAATTTTAACACCTATAAAAATAGAACTGCGGTACCTGGGAGCCCCAAGCCAGATGCTACTGATTATTTTTTTAAATATACTGTGGTGTAAAAATTAAAGAAATAAAATGTCCCAATATTAAAACTAAATTGGAAACCACAATTTTTGAATGTATTCAACAGGCTGTAATGGAAGATAGAAATAATAAATAATTTGGTTGTAATAATTTATTTTAATTCTACACTCTTATTTGGAGATATAAAATAATCTTTAAACTCATCAAGAATTTTTAGAGCGGTAATGTATTGTTTTTAGTAATACCAATACTAAGCTGCAGTAAATTTAAAAATATAATATAACCACTAAGTGAAAAGCCATCATAATTTCTTTTTGGTCCACAGACAATTTAGTGCCACCATCACCAACAGCCTCCATCCATTTTCTTTCAATTCAAAATATAATCATTGAGAATGGCCACTAAAAATTTAACAACTCAAACAAGAAACAAAAATCGTAAAATGTAAACAAATAAAACATACATTTAACAAGCGTGCAGCCAATAAACAAGACGGCCAACCCAAATTCTGAGCAGTGTCAAAATGATAAAGTAAATGTCCCCACTTTTAACTAAAATCGAAATGAATGAGAATCGCTAGCGATTGCGACTGTCATGGCGTAGTCGCTTTTAAATTTCGACATCGAAATGAAATAGAATCAGCACCCAGGTTTTTAACTCCGGCATCGTCTGTGATTCTAAGACGAGGTTTTCATTGTTTTTCTTTTCTTTATGGCAGAAGAGGTTTCTGACGTTGACCCAAATGAAAGAAGTTTGTCTACCGATATCTAACTGACGTTCTAACTTTTGGTTAATCGTCAACACAACATTTTTTCTCATCTCAAATGTCGTAATAAAAAATACACTGTAGCACAAAAGAAAACATACCTTACAACACACGATCAACTCAACTAACTGCGAACTAAGGCTGAGTCACAACATAAATACGTTAATGGGCTTGCTCTTTCTGACAATCATAGTCACACACAGATTGTTTCACCTCACAGAAGATAAACAACTTGTCTAACAAACAAATAATGAAACTAGACATCCAAAGATAAGCGTCCTAACTGGTCAAAAGTAGCTGCAATCACGTGTCAATTATGGATTCTCAGAAGTAGTGAATTCGATCATTTAATCCAGTAAAATAAGGCAAAAAGGGGGCAAACCTCGAAATGAAAGATAATAACCTGAAAATTTGCATACGTCTTTATTTTGATAGTATAAAACTTACCTCAAAAGTCTTATATAATCACGTATCCGCGACTTAAGATGTCAAAGGTCACGAAAATGAGTTTTCTGCAAATATCTCGTTTCCCTTACACTTTATGACATTTAAGGTGGTAAGAAAAATTATAGAATGGAAAATTCTCTTCAATTTTTGTCTCAAGTACTTTTATGTACCTTCAACCCTTCTTAAGATAAAGCGCAAAGAGTGGGGACCGCTTACCTGTGTATACGGTAACGCGAAGTCAGCCAGTAGGATTCAATAAATAATAAGTTATATAGTTAATTATTCACTTAAAATACTATTATTATTATTAAATTTTTATTATTTATTATTTAATAAACTATATAGATTTAAATTATAAAATATATATTTTTTATATAATATTTATTTTATTTTTAACAAACATACAATATTAAATAAAATACTTTTCGTCCATATTACTACGAATATTATATTTCGAAATACAAATCTCTTGTACGGCGCGGCGGTTGCTGTTTCTGCGAAGTTGTAGCAGATGCTGCTTTGTTATATATGACCTAACCGGTTTTTTTTATCTTACCGTTATCTTGATAGGACAAGCTCAATCACATCAAGAAATTTTTTTTTTAAATTATCAAGGGTAATGCGGAGACAAAATTATATTCATCGAAAAGTTTTTGATAAATACCCTCATTCTAAGAAACACACCTTATTTTTACATGCGTTTAGTGGATTTGATACGACTTCTGCGATTTATAGGAAAGGTAAAATATAGTTTATTAAAATGTTCGAAAAAAATCACTATTTAGATCAGTCACCTCAACTGTTTCAACAAAAAAAACTGCTCTGTACAAGAATTATTTGAAAATGGAGTACGTATTTTCTTAGCAGCATAATGCATAAAACATCAAAAGACGATATAGACTCTTTTTGATACACCCAGTTCATCAAATCAACAAGACTCAACAAACCAGTGCAGTTATCAAGTCTTCCACCTTCAAGTGCAGCAGCTCGTCAGCATATCATTCGTGTCTATTATCAAACCCAAATTTGGTTGGGAACCCTAAGAATTTGCTGGGTAATGCAAAATGAATTTCTGGAAATTACCGTCAGCACCAGAAGAACTGCTGAATACAATATTTTGCAATTGCAAGAAAGGTTGTGGTTCTAATTGCGGATGCAAGAAATCAGGATTGCAATGTACTTTAATTTGTGGGCAGTGTAATGGACAATCATGTCTAAACGCTTCATCAACTTCAGATGATTTCAATGAAGAAAGTGAATATGCACCTGATATTCTTGAATATTTTTATTCTGATACTTTAATAAACGAGAATGATGATGATGAATCCGATATTGAGCAGTCAGAGGAAGAAGAAGACGATGAAGAAGAAAAAATAATACAAAAATATTAACCATACATAATAAAAGAATATATATTATATTTGTAACTTTAATAAATCGATTATTGGATTAATAAATAAATATTATATAATTTAAAAAAATAATAAATATGATTTTTTCAGTATTTAATTAAATATAAAAATGATTATTGTTGAATTCTGCACTTGATCTTAATTTATCGTATATACAGCTGTTAAAAACATCATTAAAGTTCATTTGAAATATTTCATTTAATATGGTATGTTTGTTAAAAATAAAATAAATATTATATAAAAAATATATATTTTATAATTAATATCTATAAATATAGTTTATTAAAAATAATAAATAATAAAAATTTAATGATAATAATAGTATTTTAAGTGAATAATTAACTATATAACTTATTATTTATTGAATCCTACTGGCTGACTTCGCGTTACCGTATACACAGGTAAGCGGTCCCCCAATCTTTGCGCTCTATCTTAAGAAGGGTTGAAGGTACATAAAAGTACTTGAGACAAAAATTGAAGAGAATTTTCCATTCTACAATTTTTCTTACCACCTTAAATGTCATAAAGTGTAAGGGAAACGAGATATTTGCAGAAAACTCATTTTCGTGACCTTTGACCTTAAATATCTTTAAGTCGCGGACACGTGATTATATGAGGCTTTTGAGGTAAGTTTTATACCATCAAAATAAAGACGTATGCAAATTTTCAGCTCATTATCTTTCATTCCGAGGTTGCATCCTTATTTTACCGGACTAATTCGACATGTAATAGCTGGAATATTGGAAATGAGAAGTCCCAAATATAGGTTGCTACAAAATATCATGCAAGGAAAAATAGCAGGCAAATGAAGTTCAAGACGAAGAAGAACCTCATGGTTGAAGAACTTGCGAGATTGGTATGGTGTTGATACAAGCATGCTATTTAGGGTAGCAGTGAATAAAATTAAGATAGCCATGATGGTAAACAACGTTCTGAAAGGACATGGTACATGAAGAAGAAGAAGATCATTAGCTGCGCATAAGAAAATATGCGCCGTTTGTTTGTTGGTCACTTTACACTGTAGCAATAGAATATTATATTTCTGGTTGTAATATTAAAAATAATACATTAGATCTAGTTTATAAAGTTTGTATTCATTTACATTGAAAATGGCATCTACAGATTCCCGGATCATCCGCTGGCGCATGCACGGGAGTTGACTCTACTGATATCTTTCATATTTATATATGTAAATTTTATAGAATACTCAATACAGACTTTGACTTGTTTTCTTGTTTGCGTTATGGGTGCATTTTGACTTTTTATTTATATTAAACTATTAATTTTAGGAGAATCCTAAAGACCTGAATCTAGATGTTAATTTAGAGGTATGAATTTGCACTAATACCGTTGTAAACTAACACTTTGTACACATTTTCCATTTCGAAATAATCGCTAATAACTAACCTAGGTAGTTAAATATTTGCTGTTCAGATTTTCCGATATATTGGAACAATTGTTTAATTGTATTTTGTAAATTCAACAGAGTTTTAAATTAATTTTGGTTACAATTAATATAAACCTATCTATCTGTAGTTGTGTTTCTCTTTCGGAATTCTACGAAGATGTATTGAAAATTTGAAAATCTAAAATATTTTACTCCAAAATCAATCACCTCTTACTGGGAGATAATTTTGTGGTCATGATCTGATTTCAACAGTTTTCCATCTTTGTAGCTCTCATCAGATTATTCTAAGATCTCTGTCATCGATGCCAGTGCTTTTTAAAGTAAATATTCGTTTATTTTATTGTTATTCTATCAAATATTTTCTCTTAGTTGACAAAATATATGTTTATGCCACAGTTGGTATATCTATACAACTGGAACAGAACTTATGTAGCAAAAAGTGCTTCCTATTTACCCACAGCAACCTCTAAAAATCAAACTAGTTCATATCCAGCAATGTTCTGGTTTGTTCAATTAGAGTTCAAATAATAATTGACAATTATTACTTTTGTCATGTTTTTATAGCTCTGGGTTTGACTCCGTAACGTTGGTTAATGCTTCTTGTGATTGGCACTGTGCGGATGTCATTGAGCGTGATCTTGTTCGCCAGTTTAGTCGCGTGTTTGAGGTTTATCTTCAGTCTGGGTGACTGATGCCAAGTTATATGCATAGAGAAGTGAATTGGTATTTTTATCAATATAACTTTATCATATTTTGTTTTTAATTCCTGCATTATATCTCTTGTTTCTTCTTCTTCGGGTTCCTTCTCCTAGCGGAGGTTGGAAATCATCATCGCTATTTTAACTTTGTTGGCCGCATTTCTGAATAATTCTAATGAGCTGCAGCCGAACCACTCTCTCAAATTTCTTAGCCAGGACATTTTGCGTCGTCCTTCTTCCCTTGCATAATCAACCTCAGTAATACGTACTTCTCACCCCTCATTAAATGTCCCAGATATTGAATCTTTCTAATTTTAACAGTTTTTATGACTTCACATTCTTTCTTCATTCTTTGTAACACCTCTATATTAGTTACTTTTTCAATCCACGATATTTTATGCATTCTCCTGTAGCACCACATCTCAAAGGAGTTTAATTTTTGTATTTCAGACTGCTTTATTGTCCACGCTTCCATGCCATATAGTAAAGTAGAGAAGACGTAACAACGTAGCATTCTTGTGCGAATCTCTAGATTAAGGTTACGGTTGCAAAGTAATTTCTTCAATTTTATGAACGTGTTTCTTGCCATTTCTATTCTAGATCTGATCTCCTTTACTTGATCTCCATCTTCGGTTAGCCACGTTCCTAAATATTTATATGTTTTTACTCTTTCTATCGTTGTATTATTGATGATCAGGTTATTTACATTTTGTGGTTTTTTTGAGAATATCATTGATTTCGTTTTCTTGAGATTCATTTGCAGTCCGTAACTTTCACATGCATTGTATACATGTTGTATTATGTACTGTAGATCTTCCATGTCACTTGCAAAGATGACAGTATCGTCGGCATATCTAATATTATTAATGCTATTTCCGTTGACATAAATACCTTCCACGAAATCCAATAAAGCCTCTTGAAAAATCACTTCACTGTAGACGTTGAATAAGAGTGGTGAAAGGATACACCCTTGTCGAACTCCTCTAAGTATACTTACTTCCTCTGTCAGTTCTCCTTCGACTCTTACTCTTGCTTTCTGGTTTTGATACAGATTCGATATAATTTGTAGATCTCTACTATCAATGTTTTTAGTCTTAAGAATACTTAAAAGCTTCTCATGTTGAACTCTATCAAAAGCTTTCTTGAAATCTATAAAGCAACCATATATGTCCTGATTCATATCCAGGCATCGTTGTGTCAGAACATGGACTCCAAATAATGCTTCTCTAGTTCCTAGACCCTTTCTGAAACCCATCTGTGAATCACTTATTTCTTGTTCTAATTTCATGTGGATTCTGTTATGTATGATTTTAAGGAAGGTTTTCAATGTGTGGCTCATTAACGCAATTGTTCGATAGTCATTGCAATCTTTAGCATTTGTGATTTTTGGAATCGTCACAAAAGTTGAGAGAAGCCACTCTTTGGGTATGTGTCCCGTCTTGTATATGGAGTTAAAAAGGTCTACCAAGACATCAATATTATCTTCATTAATTATCTTCAATAGTTCAATTGATATTTCATCGGGTCCTGGAGCTTTTCTGCCTTTTGTGTGTTTTATAGCATACATAACTTCCTTTTTCATTATTTCTGGTCCCGTGGTTTCTCCGTTAACTTCTAATAATTGTTCTACTTTTTGATCATAAAATAGTTGTTCAATGTATTCTTTCCATCTACGTAGTTTGTCTTGCGTTTCAGTTATAGTGGTACCATCTGCATTTTTTAATATCCCGATTGGTTTGTTACGATTTCCTGAAATCATTTCTTTAACCTTCTTATGGGTGTTGAAAGTGTCATACCTTGCCTCACATTCCTCGATTTCTTGACATTTAATGGACATCCATGTTTCCTTAGCTTGTATTATTTTCTGTTTTATTTGTTTATTAATTTCTTGATATTTAATTTTATCTTTGTTTTTATGTGTTCTTCTTTCGTCCATCTTTTCGAGAATTTCTTGTGTCATCCATTCTTGTTTGGCAGCTTTTGTAAATGTTAAAGTTTTCCGTCCCACAGTCTCGATTGCGTTCTTTATATTCTTCCACTTTGTGTCAATATCTGTAGTGTTCTTATTTTGTTGTTTTATTTCTTGGATACTCTTGGATTTATTTTGTTTTGAGTTTCTTGGTATGTATTTGGTTCTCTTAACTTATCAATGCATATTTGTGGTCTAGATCTTTTCATTAATGGTTTTCTCAATCTTACATTCATATTTGCTACTACTGGGTTGTGGTCCGAGTTTACATCTGCTCCAGGGTAAGTCTTCACTACTGTAATAGAGTTCTTGTACCTGTTCCTTATCAAGATGTAATCTATCTGATTTCTTATGATTCTATCTTTGCTGTCTCCAGGAGCTTTCCACGTGTAGAGCCGGCGATTTGGTAATTTAAACATTGTATTCATAACTACTAGTTCTTCTATTTGGCACATCTGAATTAGTCTTTCACCACGCTCATTTCGCTCTCCCAATCCATACATTCCAACACAACTATCCACACTTCCTCTGCCCACTTTGGCATTAAAGTCACCCATTAGTATCAGAACTTCACGTTTTTTTGTTGTTTTCATTATTGTTTCTAATTGCTCGTAGAAGTCTTCTATTTCTTGTTCCTCCTTGTCAGCTGTTGGTGCATATACTTGAATAACATTCATTTTCCCTATATTGGTGTTAATTTGTAGCATTATGATGTGATTCGAAAGCGGGGTGAAACCAAGTACGGATTTATCTATTTCCTTGCTTACCATTATGGCCACACCATATCGGTTTGTTCTATCAGAATATCCACTATAATATATAGCTCCGTTTCTAGTCCGTTGTTTTCCAGACCCTGGCCATTGTACATCGCTTATTCCTAGAATTTCGATATTTAATCTTTCCATTTCTATCGCAGCATTATCTACTTTACCTGATTGTAGTAAGCTTTGCACGTTTCATGTTGCAATTCTCATATTTCCTCTTGTGGCAATTTTTAAAAGTGTTCTATTATTTACATCACAGGGATTTCGCTGGCTTACGACCTGGGAAGCCCTGTGGCTAACTAGTGATTTACTTCCCCTGCCGGATCTTGGTTTCCGCGGCTCATGATCAGTAAGGTTACTGATCTCTTGTTTATAATTATATAAATGTTTAAAAGTGTTTACTATTTCTATTTACATTATCTAATGACTCTTCCATGTCCTCGAATTAAACAAGCGTTTCTCTACTAAATTTTGACTGTCCTTTCATACTGTCCTTTCAGAACCCCAGAATTCATTTACCCACTCGTTCTTCTATTATATTTGATGTGATGTTTTGGTTCTCTAATTCTAATAATCCAGACTATTTTTATGATCTCCACTGAGGTTTCGGCAATTTGTTTTGTCACCTTTCTTAAAAATTGATATTATTTTAGAAGTTTTCCCATCATGTTACAGAATTTCCCATGTCTTCCTTCATTCTACAATGCCGTTGCCGTTAGAACTTGTTTTAGTTCTACTATCATAAAGAATACAACGGATACTATATGTACAAAGCTTCATGTTTGGTGATCCACTTAAAACTCTGAAGGAATGTCATATACTCCAAGCGATTTGTGCTCTTTCAGTTTTTTCGTCCTCTCTTGGGATGTTATCTTTCTTTGTTTCGTCTTTCACGCCTTCCAGCTGTATTTCTGCTTCTTGGACATCCATTTCATTTCTTATATTTGGTTTTTCTTTAAAGTTTTCTGACCTGTTTGAAGGATATCTTCCTGATATTCAATTATACCTCTTTCATTGATACAATCTCCGCGATTCCATTCTGTTTTTTCACCTTCCACTTATAGTTGGTCTTCTAGTGTTTTTATATTATTTATTTTTTCGTACTTGGTCTTAGCTGTCTATAGTCTTTTTCTACTTGCCTCGATCTTCAACTATATCAATCTGTCCAGTCTTCTTCAAGAATCCAATTCTCATAAACATCTCACAATTATGCTTACACATTTTGTGCACTTTCATCATAAATCTTCAAACATCAAGCACCAATCTAAGGTTTTTATCGTTTGCAGAATAGCAACACTGCACCAAAACCTGCTCCAAGATCAAAGCTGAACGACAAAGTCTATGATCTACCAGAACTTCCATCAGTACCCAACATGGACCCGAGCCCCGGCGGAAAAGACGACGATATCGACTTCGACGACTTGTCCAGAAGATTCAACGAGCTGAAGAAGAAACACTAATGGCTCACACATTTATCAAACAAATTATCTAACCAGCTCTGCGCTATGTGATACGCTTCCTACACTTCTTTAAAAAAGTCACTATAGCATTCTAACTTTAATGAGTTATATAGTAGTTTGTAGCGGCGTTATAAGAAGTTGAGCTGCATATATGCCGCTTTAAAGGCGCCCTAACTGAACCTTGTGTCAGTTATATATCCAATATATTTTGTACTATAGTTTTGTAAATTTGTTTTGGGTCTGGAAGAGATTTAATAAGTATTCAATATTACGAATGTGTAATTAGTGGCAAAATACAGGATTCACAGGTTTAATTGATGTTTATTAACTATATGTAGATCTGTAAATAGTTTTGATTTTTAATTTATGTTAAATAAGATGGCGAAGGGATACATGGCTTAGCAGTACAGCTGTGCAAAGGCACCTACCATGTCTTTATTGGTTTTATATCATCGTGGCAAACATTGTTCAAGGCCGTGGAGTTGGAAAAGTACCCTTCAGGGTGTTCGGTGCTCACTAGACTAGAGTTTTAATTGTGTCTGAAAATGATTAAAACTACTCAACCTACCCCATTAAAGTGGCACAGATAAGTATTTGTTTATTCATTATTAAGTGTTATCACGAAGGTTATCGAAAAATGTCTTCATCTTTTCTTCAAGACGCTTCTTATTTTTATCAAATATAATTTCTTGAAAATTATATTTTTCATTCTCGTTAAAAAGTAATTTATGGCAATCAGAATATAATACAATATTTCGTTTTTGCCAAAGATGAAAGATTTGTAGTTTATTTTGTAAGTGTTGCTATTGTTATGCAGCCCACATTACACTATGTTTGACCTTGAGATATTAATATGTGAAAGTAAAAGTCAACAACACCAAGATAGAAAGTAGCTCGACGTGGAACGTACGTAATAAGAAAAGATCTTATAAACATGTGTTACTTGTTTATATTCAATCGTGGCAATGTTACTATGAAATTGCCAGAAACTGTTATGGCTTGCATGCAACAATAGGTTTGCATAATATTTGTCGTTAATTGTTAACAGTTTTTACTACTGAAAAAGTATTTCAAAAACATCCAAAACACGAAATACTTCGAAATACACGCATACATGAAATACATTCGTATATGCCTTCTTTGTAAACAATTAGGTGAAATTTATTTTGTAAAGTTGGTAGTTTCAATCAGTGTAATATCTGTCAAATAACCGTCATTCGTCAGCCACACAGCGGACTTGTTATTGTATATTCAGAGATCTTTTTATGTAAAGAGTATTAAAAGTTAAAATTCATCATTAACCTGTCAAATCTACAGCCAATATTGTTGGTTCTTTTATACACTTTAATTTTACCGATAAAACATTGTATATCTTATTTTTTTAATATGTATATTTCTTGTAGCAAAATAAAAAAATAACCAAAAGATAATAAATATTTTATTTTACCGCCAACTATTATTAATATGTACACATTGTGTGAGATGTTTATTTTTTTTTATTTACAAACTCACTTCAGCCTATATGACTTTTAGCGAAAAAGAAAAATATTAATATCCATAGAATTGTACAATAATCAAATTTTGTATAAATAGTTTGTTTTTAAATATTGAATAATCACTTTGGCACCGCAATTTAAGAATAGTTCTTCAAAATTTCCGGAGTTCCGAATTCATTTCTTTCGGTACTGTATAACGAGTACTCCACAGAAGCTGTTTTATTATTAGCAGGTTCTAGCAAGCATAACACTCCGGTTGGGGATATCGGGTCATCAGATGTCCAGTCCATGCGTAAATAAAAGTATATCAAAACATACAGAAGTTAAAACACTTCACAATTGTATTTAGGTATAAAAAACATATAGTTATAACTTTTAAAAAGTGACGAGGTATGGGTGTGTTCCGAGACTAATGTAATTTTTTAAAAATATAAAATTTATTTTGTTATAATAATACCTAATATTTTATTAATAAACCTGTAGTTAAAGTTAAATTTGTTTAAATGATAAGATTTGCAAATCTCTATTATTGAAAAACAAGTGAGTTATTAAATTAGTGGAATTAATGTTTAAGGTTGAATCTATGACATCGTAAGTAGTATGAAAATTGATAAAGGTAGAAAATGAAAGGAAGTGATGTGGTACTATATACATAATAGTGTAAGAAATGGCATAAAAAATTAGTATATACTAAAAGATTAAGTTAAAATCCAATGAAATTAAAGTTGAAAAAATTTTTAATTTGATAATGGTGGTTGTCTAACAATGGTAAGAGACCTAATGTGTAAATCTCTGAGATTTTAAAAATTTAGTTAGTAAAATGAAGTCTATTGTTACGTAAAAGATTATGAGTCATATTAAAAACCGTAAATATGTTTATTCATTCTCGTAATTGCTAGGTTAAATCTACCTGAGACGTTAGCTATGAAAACAAAAAATCGAACCTTCAAGGCGATTCAGGTCAATGGGGTCTACCCTCGACTAAAAGAAACCAGGTAACTAGAATGCCGTCGGCGGTGACCCTCCGAATTTACCAAAATGCGATTGACTTTTCGAGACCTGCTGAATGAGTCATCGGTGCATCTCCAGACTTTTCAAGATAACGGCATTTTATATATAAATACATTTTATTGAGCGGACAGTTAGTTAGTAAGAAGATAAATTAGAAGCTCGCGAAAGCGGTTTTAGATGTACGAAACGTAATAAAATAATTGTACAGATTTTATTTAATAAATGGATAATAAATTATCGAGAGTTTTAATAAATTAGAATACAGACAATGAATTAGATTAAAGACAATAAATTAGAAATATAATAAAAATACAACACTATTAAAAAGTTTTATGAGATAATATGATAACAGAATATGATATTCTAACTATTATTATATTCTAGTTTTTGATAGTCTTAATATAGTATTACCCTATTGTGAAGTATGTTAAAATGAATATAAATGAAGCTGAGGAAGAATGAATGAAAATATTAATATAGGAAAGAAGAAATATTAATGTTGGTTGAGTAATAAACAACAGGAAGAATAAATTGGATACTATGTTTGTGTGAACTGCATGGACAAAGTTAGATAATTAAGTATGTAATTGGAAAACCAGACAAAATGATATGTGTGTGAATATGTATTAGAGAAAGAATGAAATAATGGAGGACTGTGGACCCCATTACCACCTATACTACACATTTCACGTAACCAACTCAGATAAGCAGTCAATCTAAATCCCTTACAGTTAACTGGCTGGTTGGTTCCGTTAACATCCATCATTTTTCGGTGTTGAACTGTGTCAAATGCTTTTTGGTAGTCCACAAAGCAGGTGTAGATATCGCAAGTCGTATCTCTGCATGTTTGGAACAATATCTGTAGACTAAACAGTGCATCTCTCATACCTACGCATTTCATGAATCCAAACTGTGTGTCTTGTATCCTTTCTTCGCATAGAATTATAAGAAAAAGTTTTAGTGTATGGCTCATTAGACTTATTGGCCTATATTCTCCACACTTTTTCGCTCCCTGTTTGTTTTAACTTTCTTTCTAACTAGCCAATCTTTTGATTAGTAGTATTCTTAAAGATTCATCATCAAGAAGTTTAAGAAATTCAGACTGTACTCCGTCTGATCCAGGAGCTCTCCCTTCTTTTAGTGATATTATGGCTGCTCTTAAACTTAGTGCCAAACATTATTGGTGATTATATAACCTTCAGTTTATCGTATATTTATCTTTGTGTAGCAAAATAAAAGAGCAAAGACAATAAATATTTTATTTATTACTAACTATGACCTATATATACAAATTATGGAAGATTTACATTTCTTAAGTAGGTACGAGTGAATATACTAACATTAATCAGCTGTCATTATTTTGCGTTCTACAATCAACGTCAATGTCATAATATAACGTATTCTCATCATAGAACCTAAAAATCGACAAACCTAATCTTTTCAATTACTACTTTTTTACAGAGTTGTTATATACTTGAACTATCTCTATAAATATTTATTGGCTAGTATTTCTCTGAGAACAGTTTATTTTTAGTTTAAACATTAGAAAACGAACGTGGAGAAATACCAGCCTTATTTGTCATAACTTTTTTCAAAATATTTTCTAATCCGTATTAAAAATATACTCCATTTACGCGATGTTACTTATTTCTAGAAGAGAATTTAAAATGCCTTTTAACCCAGGAATTTTAGAATATAACTACCTATGATAGCTACGTCATAATATGCAGGCAATGCAGATTCCATAATTACCAACCGGCGAAAGTTGTATAGAGTCAGATAACAGTAACATAAATGTCAACTTATCAAATTCCTTGCTAATGGGATGTCTTTGTCAAGTTTATTCGCTCCGAGGGTTAACAAAGTGTCAAAGCAAAATCGACTGACCTGCTCATGGTGGCGATTGCTTGAAATTTTATCAGGACGTTTTTGTGCATGGTACAATGAACATATTCATTGTACCATGGATGTTGATCATGTATATTGGGACCGTGCAAGTTCGGAACAGCGACACCTGGTGTCGTAAATCAGCCAAATTTACTGCGCTTTCATGTTAGATCGAGGTTACCGGATAACTGTCAAGGACGTGGCCCCAAAAAAGAATAAGAAGAAAAAGTAAGATTGAGGTTATGTCGGTATGTTATTAAAAGGTAAACGTTGATGTAGCGTAAATACAAATAAATATATTATTGAATTACAGCATTACTGTTAATATGGATGCAATAATAAAAACTGGATTTGAGAAAGTAAATCACCAAATAACTTTTCAACCAAGCACGAGTCAAAGGGAAAAGCTTTAGTAGTGGCAAATGTCAAAAAAGAATGGAAGAATTATGTGGAGTGGAAGAATTAAGACAAATAAATTACCATAAATAATGCTAATGCATAAATTAGCAGGTTAAGCCCATGATATCATCATATTGGTTTGAACAATGAATTCTTTCCCTGTAAACTTTTGAATAGCGAATATATCTTAATGCATCTTCAGAAAAA